AAGAAGTGAGGTTCTTACCCACGAAAGCTTATGCTCCCAATACTTCTGTTAGTCTTAAAGGTGCCACAGGACCCTCTGTTGCTTTTTACAGATTCAGACTAACACGGCTACCCCTCTGATACTTGACACCATTAGAAATGGTTTAACTAAATCCTCCAGAGATTGTGGCCATGTTTTATCTAGAGTAAATACAATATAGCCATAGTGAAGCTTACACTTTTTCAGATAAACCATATTTATGTAGTATCATTGCCTGAGATGGAGAAGCTGCTGATTGTGCTGAGGAACAGTTTGAGGCCTAAGATTATGAAAAGTCCAGTGTTCATTACAGTACATAAAGTATTTGGTTACAGCTTTGCTGTGCCTCTCTATATGAAATGTGGAGGATTCTGTTTCCCCATATTCACTTTATAAATGCAACTGGCAGTGGAAATTTCAGAAGTGTTGATGCATCAGCCAGGTGTATTTAAGTTCCTGACCTCTCCGTCCCTCTCTTTCTTCATCCCTCTACCCTGTTAATTTTCCAATATTCTTTTAGATATGCCACTGATTATCTTTTCAGTATTGACTAGATTTGGTGTGCAGAAGTAAATCTGCTTTGTTCCCACAATCAACACATGTTGCTCAATATGTAATTAAATCTATCTTAGAACCCAAAGATGATTGTCACTAATGGAAAATAAGAAAAAGCATTATTTGAGATCAGCTTTTTGCCACTGTGTCATTTCATAGCAATTTGTTAATTACATTTCCTGTTGCTTTTTCTGTAAAATTCCTGGTTTTACAAGTATAGCCACACTGTTTTGGGTTACATGTGTCATTAGTGTGACTTTGTATCAAGATATTTGACTCAAGTATTTTATATAAAGCCATTCATTCCTTCTAGTGTCTGTGCTGGTATGTCTGATCCCCCAGAAATTGCACCTGTGTATTTTGTAAATGTGTAGAAAAGCATTTCTTGTTTAAAAAACAAAACAGAAATTGCTAAAATCTTAAATTGTTAGTATCGTGAAATTTTGAGTCAGCTTCTCCTTCAGTATAAGTTTTTAATGTGGGGTCTGTGTGCTTTTTCTGAATGCTAATTTTTTACAAATAGCCTAGACTTATCAAGCAATTATTACTATTATTATTATTTTTGTCATGGTTTCCTCCTTACAGCCAAATCTTGCATCGTTACTGTGATATCCTGTTGCTCTTGAGTCTATTTTGATAGTTCGTTGTCTACTTGGGCAGCATGGATTAGGCATTCAAATATCAAAAATATTTTTCCAACCAAAATGCAGAAATTGAGCTTTATTTTAAATCTGATAGATGAAGGAAATTTGGTGAAGTAGTTCCCATTTATTATTTAATTTGTATTACTATAGCACCTAGGAGCCCTAGTCATGGGCCAGGCCCCCATTGTGCTGGGTGTTGTAAATAAATCACAAAATTAATCCTATTTCCCATTTATACAATTTATATTTCCCATACAATCTAATCTAATCTAAAGAAATAGCTCTCTGCCTGATGAATACATGTAGTAAAAAGCAACCTGTAAATTCAGGTTAACTTGACTGATACTGTTGATAGTTTACGATATTGAACAAAAACTTGTTCTGGGGAACATGTATCATCAGAAGTTTGATGTCAGAGCTATTCAGAAGAGTGACAGGTTCAGTGCTTCAACAGTAACATGAACATACAAGGTTCTGTTTTGGAAGCAACACACATCAACAATCTGTATTTGAAAAATTGGCAGCATATCACATGCAAGCTTCTATTCGTTTGTTATATAGGCAGTAGATAAACTTACTGTAGTTCTAGTTAGGGTTAACATTTATCATCTAGATTCCCCTCGTTTCTTTTAATGTACTTTAAGCACATAGGGGTTTGCGTGTTGTTTCAAGACCGAGATCTAATTCTTTATAAAATTGTATCCTGTCCTCTTTTGACTATCCTAGTTAATGTATCCGTGCAATGTATAGCCGTGTCAGTCCCAGGATATTAGAGAGACAAGGTGGGTGACACTCGGAGTGCCTTTCCCAGGCCTGAAGAAGAGCTCTGTATAACCTTGAAAGCTTGTCTCTCTCACCAGCAGAAGTTGGTCCAATAAAAGATATTATCTCACCCGCCTTGTCACTAATAGTTAATATATATTAGATACACTAACCTTTATTACACTCCTACATTATTACTTTAAACTTATAATTTACATATTTACCTCATAATTAAGGAAAACAGACTTTTGAATGGAGCATTTAACTTCTCAAAGTAATACATTGCATTCTCTCCTAATTTAACAGTAGGAAGATTTGATTACACATTTTTCCTGTAATGTTCTGAAATAAAATAAGCTACTGTAGCCAAAAGGTGTTGCAGTTTGAAAATGTCCTCTGGCTTCACTAGCCAGTTTCCTATTTGAATTTAAAATACTTGTCTCAGATGTAATTTCACACAACTGCTGACTTTTAGAAGGGACACCATGATATAAAACTGCATAGTTAACATCAGAATTGGCATGGAAACAGAATTAAATGTTTGAAAATATTGTATAATGGGAATCTAACTTTTTTGGGTGAAGATTCCCCCACAAACTTTTTAATTTAAAAAAAAAATACTGTTGAACAGTAGAGTAATTTTAAAATGTCATCTCTTGTATCATGTACTTGTGGAAATGTATAGGTTTGTTTCTGTTCACTTTTTTTCCAGGGTGCCCGTATGAGTTTGTCTCTCTTGAATGGTTACAGAAATGGCTGGATGAATCTGCCCCTCCCAAACCCATAGATAACACTGGCTGCTTGTGTTCACATGGCAAATTGCACCCTGATAAAATATCAATTATGAAGAGAATATCTGAGTATGTTGCTGACTACTTCTACAGGAGATACGGAGGGGGGCCCAGGCTAAATGGTAAGATTAAACCATAGTATCTGGATATAAAGCACTCTCACATGGCAAGCTTTTATGGGATTTTAATTTTTGTATATTGAAATTTGTTTTGCATCCTTTGTCAATATAATGTAGCTTCATCTTTGGCCAGAATAGCTGTCCTGCTTGTATTTTTCCTGATCGCTGCTTTTGAGAGCACTGCTTAGTTATGACCAAGCAGATAGTTAGGCTGACTAGGGAACATGAATGGTGTATATATTTCAGATCTTGATTCTGCTTTGTGACTTGAAGCAGTTTTGTTCAGTCGCTTTAACCAAAAAAAAAAAAAAAAAAAGGTACACTTAGGTAGAAACAACTTGAAACTTTAGTATTTTAAAAAGTTTTATTAAAATAAACTTTCTGTAAAATAGCAAAACTTGTATAAATACCCTAAAATTGGGGAGTGGTGGAGCTCCTGGGCCCATTATTTCTACAGATGCTGTATAGGCAGTGCCTCATATATTGTATCATTCTCTGCTGACAAGAGCCAGTATTTTGGAACCCTATTCTCAGAGCAATGAAGAAGTGAGGGTGTGAGAGAAACTGTCTTCTGTCACTTGTAGCTTCCCCCAAGCAGCCCAGTGCCTAGGAAGTATATTTATAGTGTGTATACACGGCATGTTTACATACTGTGACAGGTTTTTTGTGAATGGTAAAACTGCTATTGCAAATTTCTGAACTGTCCTTTTTAAACCCACGGTTTACCTAGGTCTACACCTATTGCTGTTTTCAAGCTTGTTGCAGTAAATATAAACTGTTAATATCAGAAATACAGACTTGTGAAACTGAGGTGATGAGAAATGTCGATGCTAAAGGATCAAACCCACCCTTACCAAAACTTACTACAATTGTATCTAAATTTGGTCCAGTTCAGCTGTTACCCATTCATTTCCATCTAAATCATAGGTACTAGAAAATGCCACTGTCAGTATCTACATTAAGCCTACTTGACTGACAGCACCTTCAAATAGTGATGTCCGCACTTGCAAAAATCTTACTTTTGTTTTGAAGTTTAGCAGTAGTATTCTTGTAACATGGTGTTGTCTTTTTTGTTGCTCTAGTTAAAGCACTTTGCAAGGACTGTGTGGTAGAGAGATGTCGAATACTACGACTGAAAAACCAATTAAACGAAGACTATAAAACTGTCACAAACTTGCTGAAAATTACAGTAAAGGGGTATGTGGTTCTGACACCTTCCAATGTTTGCATTGCACAAGTCTATTGTCAGTGATATTTAGATTTTTTAAAATGAGATTTTAACAATTGTTTGCAGCATTGTAGCCATGTTGGTCCCAGGATATAAAAGAAACAAGGTGGGAGAGGTAATATCTTTTATTGGACCAATTCCTGTTGGTGAGAGAGAGAGAAGCTTTTGAGCTTACACATAAGCTTCAGGACATGAAGAGCTGTCTTTCACCAACAGGAATTGGTCCATAGCTGTAAATGTAAGTTTTGGTTTTTTTTTGAAAATTTGGTTTTTTTTTTTTTTTTTTTCTATACAGTAATGATGGATTTTGGGTTGGAAAGTCATCCTTGCGGAGTTGGCGTCAGTTGGCTCTGGAACAATTAAATGAACAAGATGATGATGCAGACCAGAATAATGGAAAAATGAATGGAGATGCACAAAACAAAGGTAGCTGTTTAAAACCAAGCAACCCAATTTCTCCCACGACCTGATAAATAGATCGGATAGTATTGATTAAGCATTCTAGCTGTTCTGTTTAGTTGTAGGGATTGTTTTGAGCAGGTCTGAATGATATACATTAGAACCTCAAGTTATGAACTGTCCAGTCAACCACACATCCCATTTAGAACTGGAAGTATACAATCAGGCAGTGGCAGAGTTCTCCCCCTACCCCCACCCAAGAAAAGCATAAACTACTAAAATAATAAAGGGATAGCAACATTTTTCTTCTGCCTATTAAAGATCAAAGCTGTATTAAGTCCATGTTCAGTTGTAAACTTTTGAAAGCGCCACCATAATGTTTTGTTCAGAGTTACGAACAGCTTCCATTTCCGAGGTGTTTGTAACTCTGCGGTTCTACTGTAGTACAAAGTAACATATACCGGTAGTAGATCCATATTTTGAGCAATTTCAAAAGCAATATATACTTTTGAAGGAAAAAAAAGTTTTCAGCAGGTCAAACTCTGCCCTCACTACACCTACGTAATCCCACTAGGGATGTAAATAGTGTTTTAAAAAAGTAACCGTTTACACTATTAAAATTGTATTGGTTAAACATGTAACTGTTATTGAGTTCACAACATAGGTGCTGGAACTTGGGATGAGGGGGGGAGGGTTCTGCAGCACCCCCACGTTTTACACAGCTGCTGCCCCATGTCCAAACTCAGGCGGGAAAGGGGCCAAGGCTGGGGCCACAGCTGGGGGCAGGCAGAACCCCGGGCACGGGCCTGGCACATTAGGCATTTAAATGTTAACTCAGTACATTACCAGTAAGACTGATGCTTATTGGTTAACTGGTTAATATTTTATATCCCTAACTCCCAGTTAAAACTGAAGGTAGAATCTGGCCCTGCAGTTGGAACTCTAGGCCATGTCTACACTATGGGTGCTAAAACAGTACAGCTATGCCACTGTGGCACCGTAATGTAGATGGTTCCTATAGCGATAGAAAGGTTTTATCTGCGGCTGTAGGAACTCCACCTATGGTAGCTAAGTTGATGAAAGCATTCTTCCATCGGCCTAGTTGTATCTACACTGGAGCTTAGGTTGGCATAGCTATGGCACATAGGGGTGTGAATTTTTTACACCCTCTGAGTGCAGTAGCTATGATGACTTAACTTGCAAGTGTAAAACAGGCCTCAGTTGTCAACTGTGTTTAGGTGCAATCCATTTTATTTTCCCCTGCAGAGCTAATGGGAATGACTAGTAAAAACTTTCCTTTGTCAAAGTAAGCACACGTTACTTTTTATTACTCCTGATATTGCCCACAGTGTTGTAGGCACTTTCCAAAACAGAAAAGGCACAATCCTATCTGCAAGTTGCTCACATTGAAGCCTTCCAGGCGGAGTGGTTCTTGGCCTCATTTGAAGCCATTGTGGAGCAGCAATGGGGACATCTGGTTTGGATCAGACTCCTCAAAGTAGAGAGCTGACTAATATTTTGCCTGTAAGATTTCTGTTCCCTCCACTCTGATCTGGTGGTAACTTTTCTGTTAATTCTGATCTGAGCTATTTGGGAGCAGCAAAGAGCCCAGGTGTTCTAGCTATAATGAATGCTACCTTTGTAGTCTCATATAGAAGATAGTCTTGTGCTCCATGAACTTCAGAGCACTCAAAATATATTGGGCCAATAAACTTAAAGGTATATTGTTGAAGTTTCCTCAGTATTAAAATTTTGCAGCAATTTGAAAAGGAAGCAAATTGTTACAGTTCCTCCAAAAAATCTAACTCTACTACCGAGAGCTTTTGTGCAATCTACTTTTTCTTTTGGTCAGATGAGTCCAATGAAGAAAAGAGGGAGGAGGAAGAGGAGTTAAATTTTAATGAAGACCTTGTTTGCCCACATGGTAAGTGTGTATGTAGGGGACAGAACTGAACATGTCTATTCGGATGACCCACCATTTACAGATGGATCTTCCATATTTCTTCTGCAAAACCCAAGATTAACTGGGCTTAATTAAGTTTATTTCTGACTTACTTTGCTTTTCTTAAATGTTTATCATTTGATCTTGAGCTGTGATCGCATCAGACCTCGCTAGCTAGTGTGATGTTGGGATAGATTTGATGGGAGACCTACAAGGAGAACCTAGATCAGTGATACTCAATTAGATCTACCCATAGGCTGATTTGAGAATTTTATGACAAGAGGCGGGCCATTTGCACAGAAGACTGACAAAAAAACAAACTTCTAGCTGCCAATAAAGACCTGAATTGTAACATAAGTATTAATGTTTTTATCTTTTAACAAAGTTTATAAATCAACATTATTACCTGTGTTTGTGGCAATCTAGTGGAAGAGGTGGCATCAATGATATCTGGCAAGCTTTGTGAAAAGTGGTTTGTAGGAGATAAGGGCAAGGCGCATGCACTGGTGAAGATGCTCATCTGTAAGGTGATTGCGGTGTTTTTTTAATAATGTTCATGGTAGAAAACCTATATTCGCAGAGGTGTGTTGTTCCAAACATTTGTTAAAAGATAGATGGCTAGATTCTGGCTATTCTGAAACTGGTCAGCATATTGAGTCCAGGAATCAAAATCCCACTTCTCTGAATTTTTCCTTCAAGAACATCTGAGCTCTGGAGCCTTACAATTTCTAATTCAAAGGCACCTTCATCACCTGTTCTTTGCTTCAGCAGAGACAACAAATGGATCACGAACAAATAAAAGCAAATCCTTTTGGAATTTTAAAACTCTCAAATCGAATTTTAAAATTTTCAATGATTTTTTTTTTTTTAGGAATTCTTGCATTGTTTTCATCGAAGCTTCATCTGTAGCAATAACATGCAATGTGGGAAAGTACAACATCTTTCCTGTTAAGTCTGTCTGAAAGATTTCAAGATTCTTCTGAAAGGCATACATTTTTTTCAAAGAGATCCCCAATGTTGCTTGCATGGCCTTGGAGCTGCAAGTTGAGGGAATTCAAGTGACCAGTAATATTGCACAGAAAAGCTACCTCTGACAGAGAAGGAACATCATTTCTAAATTCCATGAACTCACAAGCTTTGTTGGTCTTGTGGTTTGAAAGAGATTCTATTTCTTTTTGAATTGCACAAAACCTCTCTAACACGCACCCCCTACATAACGATGTTCTCTGGTTGTGCTGCAACAGGTCACTGTATTTGGCTGAAATGTCTTGTAAAAAGACATTTAAAAAGACAGTGTTGCAAGCTGGAAGTTGACTGTATGCAGTTCACCAATCTCATCACAATACCCTTTGGTTTTTTTCTCAAGTCCCCAGACAACTCATTGCATAGGACAGTCTGGTGAATGATGCAGTGAAGTGTATTTAATGAGGGGTGTATCATTGCCAAACTGTAGAGCCAAAGACCTCTTTCCCTGTCCTGTAGGGACCTCCGTCTGTAACCAGTAAGGTTACTTTCTGCAGAGCTAAACCTTTTTTTTCTTTTTCAAAAAAGCTTTTTACCTTTTCAAAAATGATCTCTCCTGTAGTGTAGATTTCTAAGGGTATTAAGCACAAAAATTCTTCTTTGAAAACTTCACTGTCATAAAATCTGACCGATTCGTCCACTTCAAGAGACATCTCTTTTAAATTGGAAGGCAGTGCTGACAAACAATTCTCATAAATTACCTCCAATCTTCGCACTGCTGTTGATCAGGGAAGGGAACTTGCTTCACAATGTCATCCTTATTTCTATCTCCTTCAAAAAGCTCCTCCAGCATTTCCAGCGTGCACTCCTTCATAAGCTGGGCTTCCAGGAAAGGCTTTTTCTTTTTAGCTAGTACCAACATTATCCAAAAAGAAACAGCTGTTGCTTTTCATGTATAATCGTTGATGTTGTGAGAATGATATTTGAAGTGTGATACAAAGACTCCATATTTTCAATTTTGTCACATCTTGCAACACTGCCAAAAGGATAGGCTACGTTGAAGTTTCTGTGCTTTGATTCGAAGTGATGCCTCAAGTTGATGACCGTGCAGATAGAAACAGTGGTTTGGCATATTAAACGCAAAGATTTTTCATTTAAATGAGATGGCATAATAAGAAAATCTGCTGACCAATTTGGGTTAAAAGCTCGGTTTTCGCTGTCGAGTTTGCAAAGTTGTGACGAAGTGGGGGATTTCTGACAAACATTTACTCCCCCTCATTCATTTTTGGCTCCATTTCCATCACTAATGAAAAACGGATGGCATCCTAACTAAATCGTAGCCGATGCTATCGTAAGAACTTAAGATCCCGTAAGCAGTGCTTAATTTGGCCCCAGCACCTCTGGGCTCCAGGCCAGCAGCCACCACTCTCCGGCCATCCAACTCTGAAGGTGGCGCTGCTGCTGGCGGCTGTGCTGCCTTCAGAGCTGGGCACCCAGCCGGCAGCTACCACTCTCTGGTCGCCCAGTCAGTGGTTCATTTGTAGAGAGGCTTGCTGGCACTGAGCCCCGACACCTCTTTCTTTACAAATGAAGCACCGCCAGTAAGTTACTTACTAAGGAAGTCCTAGGCAAATAATAGGCAGCGCACTGCTGTTTATTAATTTAATTATAAACATTTTTTTAAGGTGTGTTGGTGGGCCACAGAGAGAGCCTGGGTGGGCCACATTTGGTCTGCGGGCTACCTATTGAGAATCACAGACCTAGATGTTGCAGAAAGTTATTAGCAATTCAGTTGGTGTTGCTCTTCCCTCTGATCTTTTGGTGCTGAACTACTGCCTCAATATGAAGTAGAGGGATTCTGTTCTGTGGGAGGGTGCTGTTTTTTGGATAAGACAAAAGTGCATGGTCTGTGGCCACCTAAAGTGTATGAAAGCTGTGAAAGTACTTTGAGGTTTTGGATGAAATATACTGTGCAATCAGTCATGATTAAGGCTACGTTTTAGTCACAGGTATTTTTAGTAAAAGTCGCGGACAGGTCATGGGCAGAAAACAAAAATTCACATGTCCATGTCTTGGGGGGGGAGGGGGGGCAGAGGGGCGCCAAGGGTGCTTAGGGGTGGGGGGGCACGCCAAGGGTGCTTAGGGGTGGGGGGGCAGTGGCCTGGAGGCACTTGGGGGGTGCTCCATGACGGAAGGGTTTGGCGGGGCTGGCAGGCTCCCTGTCCGGCTCCGCGCCTCCCCAGAAGCAGCAAAATCCTAGGCGGAGGCACGGCCCGGCAGCTCTGCGCGCTGCCTCTGCTCCAAGCGCTGTCTCCGCAGCTCCCATTGGCTGGGAACTGTGGCCAATGGGAGCTGTGGGGGTGGTGCTTGCAGGCGGAGGCTGTGCGCGGAGCTCCCTGGCAGCGCCTCTGCCTAGAAGCCAAGGGATGTCGCCTCTTCCGGGGAGCCTCCCAACCCGCCCCTGAAGTAAGCACCGCCCAGAGTCCTCACCCCCTTCCGCGCCCCCTCCCACATCCGAACTCCTGTTGGGGAGGGGGGCACGGTGGCCCATGACTGCCCTATCAGCAGCCAGTTCATCTGGCCCAGGGGCTGCCTGAGCTGCTCAGGTGGCCCCCAGGCCAGCTGCACTGGCCGCTGCAGAAGTCCCAGAGGTCCCAGAAAGTCATGGAGACACTCGCACCCTTAGTCATGATTATTTGTGGCATGGTATCCATTCCCTTCCTTCCTTGTACATTAAGACAATAAAAACTCTGTGGACGTGCAGGATAAAAAATACTTTCTCTCAGTAAGCATTTCGGTGTCCTCGACATCAGGATTGTAATCAAATTGCTGGGTATGTTATAAGCCTTACATGAGATGCTGTATAACATTAAATGATGGATAGTTAGTTGCATCCTCTACTATCCATGTCTTCAAGTCTCCCTTTTTGTGCAGAATATTGGCACTTTTAATAGACTATAACTGCTCCATTTTGGAGGCATTATCATAATGTAATCGTAGCAATTAGGCCTTCAGGTCTGTTTAGGACAATTAATGGCTATGTGACAAGCATGTATGCATTATTGTCAGTTGATATGAATTAACAATGCAAGCTCCACCGCTAAAACTAATAAGAGATGCACGCTTTTGGATTAATAAAGCTGTATTCTCAAATAGAATGTTTAAAATGTCTTTTTTAACCCTTTTTCATTGTTGTTGTGCATTGTAATTGACAGTCCCACAAGGCTAATATAAAACTGCAGAGCAGAATGATGAAACGCCATAAAAATAAGCATTTTGAAAATATTTCTCTAGAAAATTACTAGTTTCATTATAAATTGATCTGTGACTTTGGTCCACATAAAAAAATAAATGACATTAAATATTGGGGCCATCAAAAGTTCAGGTTTCGTTATCCTGAGCTAACCTCAGATTGTTCTTGTAAAATGCTCTTTTCACCTTATGCGTTCAAAATTTTCCATTTAATTAAGTTTATCAGCTAATCTGTTTTCTCTGTAATAGACCCTTAATTTTGCAGAGGAGGAAACCACTTCCTTCATGGTGCTTTCTTCAGAGTCCAGTGCTTGATCTGTTAGGTCTGGCTTGCATCCAAAAATGTCATAAAGGTTTTTCCCTTATGAATTCCCACTACCGTCATCTTATATGCATATGTCAGGAACCTTTTTCATCTCTAATTCCAGAGGATTGTTATAATTTCTTTCTCTCCGGTAGTTTCCTGACCCTGTTGAATAATTTTTGTCTGATTACCAGGTTAGGCCATCTTTGATGTTCATGCCCAGAATCTACTCTGAAAAGAGAGAGATGAGAGGGGACAGTGGTTACTCCTGAGGGCATTCTGTGCCAAAAAATTAAAAATTCTGTGCACAATATTTTAAAATTCTGCAAGTTTTATTTGTCAATAAATAAATGCAGAGGCTCCAGCATGGCAGTGGGGAGCACAATGGCTGTATGAAGGTGAGAGATCACCCTACAGTAGGGGTGGGCAAACTATGGCCCGCGGGCTGCATCTGGCCCCTGAGCCGTTTTAAGCTCCTGCTGGGGAGCCGGGTCGGGGGCCGCACCACTCGGCTCCCGGAAGCCGCGGCATGGCCCCGCTCCGAGGGTCGGGGGCAGCTCCATGCATAGGAGCCGGAGAAGGGACATGCCACTGCTTCCAGGAACCACTTGAGGTAAGCGCTGCTTGGAGCCTGCACCCCTGAGCCTCTCCCCATTCCCCAACCCCCTACCCCAGCCCTGATCCCCTTCCCGCTTTCCAGATCCCTCGATCCTAGCACGGGGCACCCTCCTGCACCCCAAACCTCTCATCCCCAGCCTCACCCCCATCCAGAACCTGCACTCTTTCCTGCACCCCTGTCCCAGCCCTGATCTCCCTCTGAACCCCTCAGTCCCAGCCCAGAGCACCCTCCTACACCCCAAACTCCTCATCCCCAGCTCCACCCTGGAGCCTGCACTCCCAGCCAGAGCCCTTGCCCCCTTCTGCACCCCAACCCCAATTTTGGGAGCATTCATGGTCCACTATACAATTTCTATTCCCCGATGTGGCCCTCAGGCCAAAAAGTTTGCCCACCGCTGCTCTACAACCTCCCCACCCCCAGGACACAGACTCAGTGGTGAGGCCGCATCTGACCCTAACACAGCACAAGGCCTGGGCCTGACCCAGATACACCCTGGGGCCCTGCACCTCAGCGCCAGGCGCACCAGGTATGGGGCAGGCAGGCTCAACCAGGCAGGATCCAAATGTGGAAGGGCTCAGTGTAGAGAGATCCAGGTGTGAAGTGAGAGGATTCTGTGTGGGACAATCTAGGTGTGCAGACAGCTCAGTGGGGGATCTAGGGATGGGGGGTTCCAGGTGCAGGGGCAATGGGACTCTGCAGGGGCTTCCAGGTGAAAGTGGTTGGGGCTCAGTGGCAGGTTCTGGGGGAGTGGGGCTTGGTAGGGTAGGGGTCTGGGTGCAGCTAGTTGGGGGACAGTGGCATGGGGGTCTGGATGTGGAAACTCAGCAGGGTGCAAGGGGGTGGGGCTTGTCAGTCTGGGGGGTTGAGTGTGGAGCTCAGTGGGGAGTGGCATGGGTGCAGGGGGGCTCCAGATGCCGGGGTTGAGGTTCAGTGGGGTGGGGTTCAGGTATGGAGGGCTAGGGAGGCTCTGGGTGTACGGGGTGAGGCTTGGTATGGGTGTCTGAGCATAGGCGGTCCAGATGCATGGGGGTTGAGCAGATGGGAGAGCAGCTCCCTGTGCAGCGACCCCTCCCCTGCACAGCTGATGAGCGATGGGGGCAGGAAGCAGGGGAGGATGCTGAGGTTCCTGCAGCTGGGGGAGGTTTCTGGGGGTGGGTCTGACACAGCCCCAGCCAGTCCTTGCAGGGGAAGAGGAAGTCCCGTCCTCTCCAGCCCAGCTGGGACTAGCAGCTGATCCCGGCTTAGGGTAGGAGCCACTGGCTGGGGTGTCCCCAGCCCTGCAGTGATTTACCTCTCCTCCCGGTGCCTGAAACAATGTACCTGCGCAGCTAGGGAGTGGGGCTTGACTGCTCTTTCCGCTTCCCTTTGCTTCCCAGCCAGAAAGTCATTTTTCTGCAGAGAAGCAAAGAAATCTGCGGGGGATGTGAATTCTGTGCACGCGCAGTGGCGCACAATTCTCCCAGGAGTAAATGGTCAGGGTCTTTGCCTTCCAGATGGTACAACATTTGTACATTCTGATCAGATTTTCCACCTCTCACTGTAGCTTATTGGTCTGTTTTCATAAATCTTATGATGTTAGAGCAATTACTTGCACAATCTTATTTTCATGTCCCTGATGGTTTCTGGAAATCATCCCAGTCCTGCTTTCCCCATATGGTGAGCCTAGGTTAATAATTGGTCAAATTTAGCAACTGTTTCATTAAATGCTATTTTAAAACAATCCAGTCTGACCTTCATTTATTGTAATAAATCCAGTAATGGAGTGTTGCTATTTTTTCTTTGGGAAATTGGCAGGAGTTCAGACTTTGTCAGAATGAGAGAAGATGACAGGTCAGTGGCATTGAAGACTTGTTCTAATACTAAAGAAATAGAGCCAAGGAGTTTCCCCGGTGTGTTTTTCTGTATCTTGTGGCTAACAAACCCATTTCATGCTGAGGTAGACTATAGAAAGAGAAGAAACTTTTAAATAGTTCTTAGCTAGCCTCTACTCCCTCAAGTACAGCAACTTTTCAAGTTTTTTTTCTTCCCACGGTTGGTTAATACCCACTTTAAAGGTTGAGCATCATTCTTTCCTATGTTAGTGTTTGGCTGTTTGCTGTTTGCAGTTCACTACTTTACCCTCTGTACTGAAATTAATATTATTCTCATTTTGTTGTGCATCAGCATTGTTACCACACCTTGTAATACCACCGGGCTTTTGACTCAGCAGCAGCAGTTAAATAGTGAGGGCTCAGTTGTGTTGTACCTCTCACCTTTACAACTATAAGTCAGGCAAAAATTATGGCTGTCAGCAATGAAGTAGCATAGTTTCTCATATATGAAATACTATGTTTTCCCACCGTGTTAAGTCTTGCACATAAATTTGATGCCTGTATTGCAGCGCAGTGACCTTTTTGGCATAGCTGTTACCAGGATAACTCATAAATGCTTTCTCTTAATTTGTTATCTTACTGATTGTCAGTTTCCTGAAAAATAGTTCAAGATAAATGATATGTAATTGGCATCACTTTTTAATAATATTTGGTACACCTCACTTCATATTTTCCTCTCACACAGAATTAATTCCACCCAACTGGATGTAATAAGGCACTCTCTTGATCAAAAGACTCAAGTGATGGAGTGGCATACAGCTTTTTGTGCACTGTTTGTGCAGTTCACTTTTTTCAAGATGGGCATTATGGAAAGCGGAATCTACCACGTTTAATTATGGATTCTGACTGTTTGAGTGTCTTCACATTCTAAGCGATTGCTACAGAAATGTGGAGTTTTAAATGCAATAACACTTTCAGAAGGGTAGTTGTGGGATGTATGGGGAGAACATATTGGACAGAATTTTCAGTGCCTAAAGTTAGGCACCTAAAGCCATATTTAGGCAAATAAATCATGGTAGCCTTATTTTTCCAGAGGTATGTAGCACATGCAGCTTCATTTTTAAGTCAATAAAAGTTGTGGGGTGCTCAGCAGCTTTGAAAATCAAACCACTTTTTTAGGTACCTAATTTGAAGCACCCATGAGTGCAGGGCCGCCCAGAGGATTCAGGGGGCCTGGGGCAAAGCGGGGGAGCTGCGGCGCTTGTACTCACCCGGCGGTGGTCCGGGTCTTTGGCGGCATTTTGGCGGCGGGGGGCCCTTCAGTCGCTCCGCATCTTCGGCAGCACTGAAGGGCCCCCCGCCGCCGAAGACCCGGATCGCCGCCGGTCCAGGGCTCGCGGGGCCCCTGTGGGGCCTGGGGCAAACTGCCCCACTTGCCCGCCCCCCCGGGCGGCCTTGCATGAGTGGGAAAACATTAGCCCTTGTGTGTGCTTGTATCCTCTATCCTGGTTCTGTTCTTGCCCTTAATTTCTCTTCCTGTTCCGTGGATTTCTGTCTTTCCTTTCCTTTTGTTGCATTTGAATCTGCTGCTCAGGCCAGTGGTGCTGGGACACTTTTAATAGTGGGGGAGCTGAAAGCCAACCCCCTAACCCTGTCCATGCTCCCCCCTCCCAGAGCTGGGACCAGGAGCAGGACCATGTCTCCAGGAGGGGGGGGGGACCCAGATGGGGGTAAGGGAGCCAAGAGCCCCATGTAAAACCTGGGGGTACTGTAGCACCCATAGCTCCCGTGCCTATGGCTCAGGCACATGGTTTTATAAATCCAAAGGGCAATCATGGTAGATTAAGATCTTTCTGTTTTTAAATAGGAATGCTGTTCTAAGAATGTATTGGGTTAGCTTTTAAAATAATTAGCTATAATTCTTAAACCATACTGTTGCTGTGAGTAAGCACTGAAATCTTACCTCCAGGAGGAAACTTAATCGTTGATGGAATAGAAATAAAGGCTGAAGGTGACTCTTCGGTATAAGTTGCTTTTTTTCATTTTATTCGAAGTGCTGACACAGGTGTCAGATTATAAGGGTGTAAAATCTACTTCTGTATTCATACAAGTAATCTCTTAAATCTGTTTTAGTGCTGTGAAACTTTTGCTGAGTATGTGCAGAACAAAAATGCTTTCTTGGATTTCTCCATGCAGGTGACCTATGCATATCAGAAAATGAAAGGAGGGTTGTTTCTAAAGAAGCCTGGAAAAAGCTCAAGCAGTATTTTCCTAAGGCCCCAGAATTTCCAAATAGCAAAGAGTGCTGTTCCCAGTGCAAGGTATCTGAATATCTGATGACTTTGTAAGCCTTTTCACAGTTCATGTATGGTGGTAGCTCTAGCTTTCATGTTGGCATTCACCTGGCTTAAAATGTATGGGAGGGAAAAAATCTGCTTTTAGCTTTTTAATAACACCTTTGAAAACAAACACAAGTGACCAAAAGGACTCTGTTTTCACACAGATTCTGGAAAGAGAAGGAGAGGAAAATGAAGCCCTGCATAAGATGATGGCAAGTGAGCAGAAGACTGCTCTGCAGAACCTGTTCCAAGACAAATGCAGACCGTGTCTTGGTAGCTGGCCTCAGGTACAAAAACTAAGAAAGGTTGATTGTCTACCAGATCTGGGAAAAGGCTATTGGTGTACTCTTGCATTTGATAATAGAATGTAAAATTCTGATCTATTAGAAGGGAATTTGTGTGTGTGTAATCCTTGAGCAAAATA